TCTTCTGTCTCATCAGAACACTTTGCACACCTGGAAGCAGCTCCCAGACCCAACTGCCCGAATCGGGAGCTTGGAAAAATAGTTTTGTAGGTGGTCAGTCCCCGGGCTGGGCAGCAGCACCTCAAAGAGGTGTTTATATAGCCAGAAGTCCCCCTGTGCTGTATTTTTTTTGTCAAAGGATCCTTCAAGGAAGCCTCATAAAACCTTTTCCACGTTGCTGGCCTTGCTCTGGGTGATGTTTGAAGGGATTGGTTCGCTTCCACTTCAGCACTTTGCCTTATCAACGTCTAGTCGCCATCTAGTGGCCAAAGACTGTATCCACCAGCTACCCAGATGGAAGGCAAATAAATCCTTTCTGCCACTTTGCTGTCCAACGCCCAATTTGGGAATGACATTAATGTCATGAGTGAACTGTCTGTAATAGTTAGAGCCCAGTGAACACTGCTCAGGAGAATTAAGCAACCACATAGATGCACACAGACCGAACAGCACACGAACTCTCCTGTGGGCAGAGGAGTGGGCCCTGTGTCCAGGTGCCCGGGAGGGGTGTACTGGAACTGCAATAGTGGCCGCCCAGCTGCTGACCTTAAGTGAGCCCGCACTGTCCCCTCGGGACAAGCAACGAGACTGGGTGTCAGGATTCTGTGTGGGGGCTGCCATGGCCTTTGATAGGGTCCACTGAATAGCCAAACAGTTTATATACTTTTGTTGTTAGTTTTTGTTTCTACATTTTGTATTTAAAAATCTTGTCAAGTGTTTTTGTGTTAGGAATAAAAAGTCATAAACTATCCCCAGCTTTGTTTCTCGAGGGATGCTCCAATTCCGAGGGAAACAGGTTGGAAATCTCAAGGGGCGTGTGGTCAGGCTGGTCGGTGGGACAGGGAGGTGGGCCACTTTGCTCTCCAGGTGGTTTCTGGGGGCAGTGACCATCCAGAAGTCCGGCTCAGTGCAATCTGCTCCGGAAATTCACAGCCACCCCCTTCACCTCCTTGTGCCACGGTCTTAGCTTTGGCTTTGAGCATCTGCTTCTTCCAGGGGCAGCTGCTAGTGTGGAAACCAACATCAGATCTCCCTCCCCAACCCCAGGTTTCTAAAGAGACAGTATTTGTAGCTAGCCTTAATCCACTGGGCAAGGTGGTCCCTATGTTCCAAGCATTTCCAAATCTTGGACTCTAATCCTTTTCTCTTGGTGTGATTATGCAGCCTGCCCTAGAGAATTCTGAGCAATAGGAAGCCAGGGCTTTCCCCGGCTCCGTGACAGGGTCAAACCAGGGAATGGCTAACCTTGTGAGGTGTGGGTATCCCCAGGGGTACTCCATAGGGGGCATTATTTATTAGGAAGCTCAACAAGGTAACTACAGCCTGGGGTGCGTGAGTGCAAGGCTGTGCGTGTGCGTGCGTGCGTGTGTGTGTGTGTGTGTGTGTGTGTGTGTGTCTGTGTGTGCGTGCACCCGCATGCCTGTCTGTGTGTATGTGTATGTGTGGAATTACATTGATGCATTTCTTGAGAAAGGTGCAAGAATTTCACCTACACAGAGGGACACATCGCTTTGTTATTTATAATAGAAAGCTAAATTTTAATTTTTTAAAGGACACTGCTAATGATTGGGAATCTTGAGTTTTTAGTTTTGCTATTTTTTTTTAATTGGTAGAGGATTTTTATATATTTTTTTCCATTTTGTTGGGTTGTGTCCTTATTTATATAAATACTTTATCCGTAAGAGGCAAGGAAGAAACCTTCTTTGCTTTTAATTCTCGTGGTCGTCACCGTCCGTACTTTATTTCTGGTGTGATTCATCCGTCTTACCTTCTAAATGAGAAAATGTTTTCCTGTCTTTGTACATTGTCAGATTCTATAGTTTCATAGATAATTTAACCAGATTGCTCTATGTATTACTATTCTGTGAGTATAAAGTTCTATTTTAACGTCTGTAAATACTTCAGAACTGGCTTCTTTTCTGACTCCCACCGTGGAGTTATTGTTTACATCACAGAAACTGTAGAATCTCTATGCTCATGTACTGTAAATAGTGAAGTGATCTGCTTATAAATAAACTTAACAAATACACTATGGAGATTAAAAAGGAAATACCACCCACCGCCCTGCCCAGGTGTGTCTTTCTTTGTTGGTCCTGCGTGTCATTGAGGGGCTGGGGAAAGGATTCTGGTCTTGGTGTCACCTTCTCAGCAAAGACCCTGGTCGAGGTGTGTCCCGCACCCTGTCCGGAATTTTCTGAGCTCACTTTTCGTTCCTTCACAGCGCTTTTCATGGGTCATAATGAATCATTCAGACTTCCCTCGCATAACAGATGTTCCATGACCGGCTTTGGCCGTGACTTTTAGAAAGCTCTACCACTTTCTGCACAAGGACTCCCTTGTTTGGGTGCAGCAACTTTTCACACAGGCACACTAAATGAAGGTGCTGGATGCGATATTTTGACATTGTGGTTTCAGGCAGAAACACTCACCAACTGACGACTCTAAAGCAACTTTTGGTCAGAGGCAGCGGAGAACAGATTTGAATTGTGCGCCGTAGTTTTAGGTGAGCTAGAAACGTTTCCCTTTGCTCACTTACCCCCAGCCGGAGCGCCGAAGTGGCATTTTCCAAGACTGAGCCTTGGCTGTGTGTATATTTCCTCAGTCTCAAAGCACTCTGTGTCTAGCCTTTATTTTGCCCTAAAGCTGCGTTCATGTTTTGTTTTTTAACATCAGTATTTTTAAGTGCAATCTGAGTGCATGATACCCATGTGCCCCCAGAGAGTTGAAATGCTGGTGAAGAAAATCACATACAAATAACAGGTGCAGTAAGCCATTCCATCTTATGTGCAAACGATTCTCAAATTGATGGTTTTTTGCCTGCAGAAATAGTCTGTCATTGTTCGGGTGATTTATTTTTTTTTCCAGTCTGGAATTTGTCTGGATTTCTTTGGTGGGAAGAGAACACGTAATTTTTGCCTACACTTAGCGGCGGGCTCTCTGGCAGGAATGAGAGTCCTTAGAGAGGTTATGTGATTGATGACGCATATCTGTCACCCCATTACTAGATGCTCACCTCCAGGAGAACGGGGTGCTTCTCCATTCATGGCAGGGTGCCCAGCCCCACTAGTCAGGAACTCGTGAATGGGCACGTGAGAGGCGTCTGTCCATGGCCTGATGGCTGTACAGAGCCAGGGAGGCAACCAAGCCACAAAGTCCAAGGTACAGTCGGTGGCGCAAGAAATAGAATGGGAGCCTGTGTTTGAGACCCGGCTCTGCCACCTCGGTGTTGTGCAAACTCAGACAAGGCACCTCTTAGGCCCCTGGCATCCCCAAATATGAAATAAGATGATCTGCTTAGATGGACTCCAAGGTCCTAAATCAGGCTGATTCTCAGAAGCAGTACAAAATGATTGCAGGCAAAATGATGATAAGCCAGGACCTAGTGTCAGGCTGCTTGGCTTTGAGTCCTGACTTCACCACTTATCCGCTGGGTGTCCTTGGGCAGGTTTCTTAACCTCTCTGAGTCCCTTCCTCGTCATGTGATAAATGGGGCTAGGAATCATTTCCACCCTATCGGGTTGTTTGTGAGGATGAATTTAGACCATGCACAGTACCTAGGACATTAGAGGCACTTTGTCAACATGAGGTGCAACCCTCATCGTGCGTGTTCTCATTGGTACGAACCGTAGACGCGTGGCAAGGATCATGACCCAGGAGGGAAGGCTGAGGACGACAGAGAGTGGAGGGAACCTGCCCACGGGGCAGAGCCTGCACCGGCAGCATCACCTGTGTATTCCTGGATGCCACTTCTGTACTCTGCCACTTAACCACTACATGTGACGTGCTCAGGGACATGCCTTTGCTCAAAAGACCACTGCTCTGAGAGTGTCCCTTTCAGGCCAGAAAATCCAGCATGGGAGGTAAGAGATGAGGGTTCCAGGCCCAGCTCCCTGTTGACATGACTGCAACCGTGGGCAGGGCTCATGCGTCAGGAACTCCGGTTGACCTGCTGTGGGAGTCCCAGGGACCCGAGCACCGTACACTGTGTTCTCTGAGCGTGGGCTTCGGCTCCTGGAGGGAAGCCAGGGAACTGTGCCGTGAACTTCGCACAGCCCATCCCCTGGCTGGCCCTCGAGCTCCTCATTTACCTAAAAAAGGGAGGTGAGAGCAGATCCGTGGTTTACAGACAGTTCGGAGGAACCATGTACTCCTCCAAGCAACTAGAGCCAACACCCGCTTGTAGGGGAACCAGGGGCGGAGGAAACCAACGGATACATCCAGAATATGGGCCAACTGACACTCTGCAACAAGAAAAAAGATTTAAACCCACTGAAGAGATGGCTAAAAGTGTAGAACTTGTCTGGGTCAGATTCGAGCAACCCAACTCTTAAAGACATAGCTGCGGCAATGGGGGAGAACTGCTGTCCCGAGCTGGGTCCCCCAGAAGGCAGCCTCTGCCGTGGACCTCGTCCTGGAGCTGGGGTGGCCCTGCAGAGCTGTCCCGTGTTGGGCCAACAGGGCCAGACCTTAACTCCTGGCATGGATCAGCCGTGGGCTGCAGGCCACCCAGGGGAAGGGTGTGCCCTTGGGCGAAATGTCTCCGTGCAGCTGAGGTCATCGCCAGAGGGGCGGCCCAGGGCTGTCTGCCGGCAGCACTCACAGCCCAGCCGCTGGGACCGCAAGTCCTCTCTACAGTAGAGGGTCCGTACAGCTCGTCACAGCATAACCGCCCTGGGTGCTAGGTGTCCGTTTGTTGCTTGTGATAATGATGTGGTTACATCAGAAAACGCCCACATGTCTGGAACGGTCTGTCTGGAATTTTCTTTTAAATACTTCAGCCAAGAAAAAGTTGATGAATATAAAAGGACAGATGAAACAAAGGTGGCAGAAGCTCCCTATGGGAATAGGGTGAGAGGCGGGGGTGCATTGTATAATTCTCTACTTTTGAGAATGATTGAAAATGTTTAGAATAAAGTAGAAATGAAAGCATAAGGACAAAAACATGACTCTGCGGGCAGTTGAACCTGGCATTCCTTACATATTTAATTGATGTCTATGACAGCTAGAATGTTGGTTTTAGCTCAATCAAAAGCTCTCAAGGCTGAGAACTTGAAAGCCCCTCGCTAAGATGTAAGCTAGAGTCTCATTCAGCTTGCAACTCCTAGGACTTTGACTTCTCAGGAGGTGTCCTGTTCGCCCGTGGCTTGGGTGATCTCTTCCCACGCAGGGCAGTGCCATTCTGGTCAGCGGTTCCCCCGTGGGCTACTGGATACAGCAGGACTTGGATGCAGGCGCGCCCCCTCCAGGGCCGGGGTTCCCCCCAGGCTGATTTCCCGTGGCTGCTGCAGTCAGACAGAAAGACAGCACACCAGGTGAGAGGCAGCTGCAGAGGGCTTCCCCTCTGCCCTGGTATCGACCAAGAGTTGCAAATTCAAGGGCTTTCAGAGGCCAACAGCTAACCACACATGCAGAAGGCAAGCCAAGTGTAAGGGGAAGCAGAAAGCAAGAATGTTTCTCTACACGAAGAAAAATAACAGCAATCATGATGGTAAGTGGCGGCCCACACTTGGCACTAATGTCTGAGAGACAACAGGGAGTGGCGGGGACTGTGGCAAACTGGGGAAATTCCCCTGTCCCATCTAAAGGGGTGGGGAGGGGCCCTAGCCAGTTGGGCTCAGTGGACAGAGCGTTGGCCTGTGGACTAAAGGGTTGCAGGTTCAATTCCAGTCAAGAGCACATGCCTGGGTTGCAGGCTCGATCCCCAGTAGGGGGCGTGCAGGAGGCAGCTGATCAATGATTCTCGCTCATCGATGTTTCTATCTCTCTTTCCCTCTCCCTTCCTCTCTGAAATCAATGAAAATATATTTTTAAAAAAATAAAATAAAATAAAGGGGTGGGAGGGGGTGCCACTCAGCTCCAGCGAATTGTTCCCATGCAGAAATGCAGATGGGTGTGGCCAGATGTTGATC